AGTCCGTTCTGGGCAATCTGCTCTCCTTCTCTGTGAACACACACACACACACACACACACACACACACACACACACACACAGAAACAGACGCACAGACGCACACGCACACACGCACACACACACACACACACACACACAGACAAAACGTCACACATCTGAACACTTACTTTAGCTTCAAATTTACTGGCAGTGCTGCAGTTGAACAATGCATCACTTTAATCAATATCGCAGAAAGTGTTCTATTTAATGTCCACTAGTTTGTGTAAATCTCACTTTCTGTCATTATATTGTATTATGTATATCTTTATTACATCAGCTACCCTGCTCTCTGTATATCAGCACTGACTGGTGCCAAAACTACTCTGCTTAACTGTTTATTTATAAAATATCTGAGCAAATATTCACCGAAATATATACAATAATTTTATACTTAATATGATATATGATATAATATTATATAGCAATATTATACATACATACATATATATATATATATATATATATATATATATATATATATATATATATATATATATATATATAAATACACATTTAGTGGAATTATTTTCTTACTAAAACAATACACTTGATATATTAATATAAATATATTACTTGTATATTATATATAATACATAATATTTAATTGTATTAATTGTATCTTAATTATTTATATTAATACATTTTATTTTTATATTAGTTTTTAACTAATATTAATATATTAAATGTATTTAATTTAATGTCATTATTTTTTACTATTATTTATTAAATACATTTTATTTATATACAATATCATTTATTAAATATATTTAATATAATACATGTAATATTTTAATACAAACATATTATCTATTTTAATACATTTGTTTTTTTTATAATTAGTTTAACTAATTTTAATATATTAATTGCACCTAATGTATTTTTTTTACTAAAATAACACTTAATGAACTAATATAAGTATATTATATTATTAAAATATATTTACATTCATTGTATACTAAATATTACATCTATGTATATAAAAAAAATATTTTATGAAATAATTTTTAGCACTTCATATATTAATATAAACATACTATTTATGCAAATAAATTATATTACTTTCATATTCATTTTAATACATTTCATCATTTTTTTAAACTAAAATAATACATTTCATATACTAATATATACATAAATGAATTATTAAGTACTCTTTTTAAGAACACTGCTTACACAAACCTAAACATCACTTAACATCAGAAAAAGAAACTGTATGAGTATGTCCTAAAACACATGACCTGATAGTGTAGAACAGCATCTGTCTGACATGTGCCGTGTTTTCTATGTACATCAGTAGCCCTGTGCTGTGTGTGTGTGTGTGTGTGTGTGTGTGTTCTGTGTTCACCTCTGCTGTGTTTCTGCATCCTGCGCCTGGACCGGCTCCGGTGTGGGCGGTTTCCTCCTCCTCTCTTCCTCCTCTTGCTGTCTTCTCACTTCCAATAACTCCAACTACAGAATATACAGAGAAGTACAACAACAGAGTCATGGTGACGTCCTACACGCACGCACGCACACACACACACACACACACACACACACACAGGTATGTCTTCATAAAGACAATACCACATCTCGGTGAATCAGCAGCATCCACAACTGAACGGAACAAAAAGTGTTGAACTTGAAAATTGTTTATGTGCGAGTGCACTTGCTAAATGAAGGCGGATTGTATAAAAATGGATTAAAAAAAACCCCGTTTATTAACGAGCTGCAGTTTTATTACATCATGCGCTGGCACATATGCAGTATATTAACGCCACGGGTCATCAGTAAGGTGCAGATTTGGTCCTCAATTTGTGTTTCCATCACACTTTTTCACAGCGCGCATCATGCGCTCAAACTCATCAAAAGTCAACAAGTGACTGCTGCAGAACCCACGCGAGAGAGAGACGAGGCAGCACAGATCGCACGTCTCATATTGAGTGGGAATTTACCGAACGTGGCACTTGCGTGAGTTAACACTGTATGCAATACCCGCAACCTCACCAAATTTCAGGCCGTGTAGATAGGCAAGCATATACAGTGGGTACAGAAAGTATTCAGACCCCCTTAAATTTTTCACTCTTTGTTATATTGCAGCCATTTGCTAAAATCATTTAAGTTAATTTTTTTTCCTCATTAATCACATACACACATACATACACACACACACACACACACTCTCTCTCTCTCTCTCTCTCTTTCTCACACACACACACACACACACACACACACACACTCTCTCTCTCTCTCTCTCTCTCTCTCTCTCTCTCTCTCTCACCGTAGTCAGTCGCTCCAGTGCTGAGAAGCGCTCCTCCCAAGTGGCGGCTGATTTCTCGAACGCTTCGTGGCGTTTGATCAGCTTCTCCACCTCGTCCACATTCTGTCCCATCTCTCTGCTGGACAGATACGGCTCCTGTCCCAGCAGCCACGCCTCTGCCACGCCGGCGTCCCGCGAAAACTGGTGCACTTCCAGAACTGCACACACACGGGCACAGTGAAAGGGGAAGTCAGTGTCAATGATTTAAAGCACAAGCTGCCCACATCCTTCTACACACTTCCCATTATAAGGTCAGAAATAAGTGTATCAGAGCTGCTAAGCATCATGGGAGGAGACACTCTCAATTCCAAGACGTCAAATAGAGGGCAAACCAAAACACTATAAGAAATAACCAGCCGGGAAAACAACTCAAGAGTGTTTGAAGCATTCAAATTCACACTGTATGAAATCATAATATATATATATATATATATATATATATATATACACATACATATATACAGTATATATATATATATATATATATATATTTATTTATTTTTTTTACAAATATAATAATATAAATACATTATTTATACAGTTTTTTTTACTAATTTTATAGAATTAAATTTATTTTTTGCTAAAATAATACATTTACTATATTAACTCTTTAGGCGCAAGGTTTTTTTTGGAAAAATGCTGGATTTTGACATCAAGATTTCAAAAGCTTGTGGCTTGAAAGGGCTTAAAGATAGAGATCTAATGTAAATTATCGGTTGTGCTTCGTGAACACTCGCGCCTTGCACGGCGTCACCATTGCGCTGCAAAGATGTACCGGGAGAAGCGCGGTTATTAGATGACCGATCGTCATTTCCAAAAGGCAAATATTCCCCTTCAGAGTCAGAATCGGCGAATAACATTTGCAACACATCCTCACAGTACAACTTTTATTAGCCATTTGGCGATTTTCTCTCACAAATCTCACAGCTTACTCGCACGCTCTGAACTGAACTGCTTTCGCATCAATGACACGATAGCTCACTTGCTCTGCTATTTACTCGAACACTTTGAATAGGAACGTGATGTAATTTTGGTCTAGAATTGAAGTACTACATGTCTGCCATCTAGTGGTAGGGAATACAAATGAGATATTACACCATATTAGGAACTACAGTCTATTTGATTAAGTATGACGTCTTTGGCGCTTAGAGGGTTAATATAAATACATTACAGTTTTTCTCGATTGCTAACACACAATTAATTTCCCATCATACTCACTCAGTCTAAGCCACTCCCATCTGTCCTCCCACTTGTCAATCATATCTTTCCTCTTGTCCGTCAACTGCAACAACTTCTCTTTGATCTGTGGGAGAGGTAAACAGACATGAAGGACTGGAACAAGACATCTAAATATGGTTCTTCTTATCTAAAACCTCTTCAGTCATCCTGCGGACGATACTCACCTCCTCTGATGCATAGTGTTTCCGTGCCAGGAGAGATTTGCCCAGCTCGATGCAGGCCGTGAAACTGTCGTTACGGGCATCGATTTCAGCCTTGATTCCCTGGTGGTTGTTCATGAGAAGCTCCACAGACGACACGTCCCTGAAGAACAGCAGACAGAGAGACTGATCTGGAACATCTAAAACATTTTCAGTTTTATATACATTTTTAGATTTATTTTGTACTTAAATAGTACTTGTATCCTGCACAATGTTGACTCCTAATGTAATATATATTTAAAAACACATATAAAAATATTTATATTCTTCTTTTTTAAAAAATCCCTTTACTTCACTGCATAAATATTGCATAAATATTGAGATATAAATCAGTGTCAAAAAGGTGAAAAAGTTAAAGACAATTTTAGCTATATCACCCAGTCCTAATTATTATAAACTAAACCTAAAATTTAATTGATACTAAAACTGAAATGCAGTTTTTGATATTTTATTTTTAATAATGTTAACAGTAAAAGAATATTATGAAAATTATAAATCAAAGTGTCACCTAACAGTGAAATACAGTTTTTTTTATTTACTTTTAAAACATACTTTTAATAGTATTTTTTATTGATTGATTACATTAGCATTATTTTTACATTATTTATCAAACATATTAATTTTAATATGCATTATTATTATATTTATTATATAATTATTTTGTACCTAATTTTTACTATGCACAATCACATACATTTATAAAAATCCTATTTTAAAACATCAAAGAGATGAAAAAAGGATGCTAAAGACTAAGCCATAATTTTAGCTATATCACTATAACACTAACGATGACATACAACCTTTGATATTTTAGTAGTGAAAAAAGAAACTACAACTATTTATTTGGTCTCATTATGAGCCCTTTCTGTTTCAAAGACACCCACAAAAATGAGGCCATCACATTTAACTATCAAACATATTAATTTTAATATGCATTATTATTATATTTATTATATAATTATTTTGTACCTAATTTTTACTATGCACAATCACATACATTTATAAAAATCCTATTTTAAAACATCAAAGAGATGAAAAAAGGATGCTAAAGACTAAGCCATAATTTTAGCTATATCACTCTATAACACTAACGATGACATACAACCTTTGATATTTTAGTAGTGAAAAAAGAAACTACAACTATTTATTTGGTCTCATTATGAGCCCTTTCTGTTTCAAAGACACCCACAAAAATGAGGCCATCACATTTAACTAAAGTGCAGGCACATTTCCAGCAATATTGTCCCCTAGAGCATTAGGGTTGGGTACCGTTCACATTTTAACCGGTACCTGAATTTCGGTGCCAGTACTTTTTTCGGTACTTTACTCTCTGTGTAATTACAAAAACATTTATTCCAGTGAAAAAATAAGTCCAATAGTCTCAATTTCAACATTTTGAACAATAGGGCCCTACAAACTGTTTCTTTCTTTTGTTTTTTCCCCCCAGAAATGAATTTTTTAATTTTTCTGAAAATCAAACGAAGGCATTAAACATTTATTTTAAATCTAATGAAAATTAAACCCTTTTATTTTTTGGCAAACAAACTGAGGTTTACTGTTGAAATTAATACATGGAAGAAAAATTTATTTTAAAACATCTTTTAATAGGCTAATAATTGTATTTTTGTTTCTACAATTAAGTGATTAATCTGGTTGTAATATTTATTTTTATCATTTAATTGTTTTATTTAAATTTGATAGAAAATGTAATATTTAAAGATGTACAGTATACTGTACAAAAGTAATACAAGAGTAATATATTTCTGTTACATGTTAAACCGTACTTTTATTTTGACAGGTTGCCATGAAGTTTCTGTGTGTATACAGTATGATGATGCTAGTTTTCTCAAATGAAATGCTAAAGTTCTCTCACAGCAGCTCTGGAGATTACGTTTTTGTGTTCATGCCTGTCATATAGTGAGACGCAGAGGCCGAAAATCACCGCGAGCGTCACGCGTGCTTCAGTATTTGTGTAGTAAACAAAACCGCATTTTCGCCAATCATACATACAGAGTCTTTTTGCATTTTAATATTCACAGACACTAGTTCGCGATTCGAATTAAGTGGCAGACCTACTTTTGATTTATTCGTCCAAACATTGACGAATTCCGTGGCATTCCACGCTATAGAGTAAATTACGTTTTTATGAATGGACTGAATGGAAACGCGATCCCGTCTGCGTTTTCGCAGAAACCATATGACCCTAGAAATTTAACCACACTTCAGAACATTTCGGCTTGCCCTGCGTGTTGTTTGAACGAGTTGCAGGGGTGACCTCATGTCACAGGGTCTCTCTTTCTCTCTCTGTAGCGTATGCGCCCAGATGCGTTTACAGGTACTGAAAATTGGCACCGATTGATTTAACGTGAATCGTGAATACTCGGTAGTACCAACGCAATTCGGTCGGTACCCTTAAAAGTACTGAGCTCGGTACCCAACCCTATAGAGCATAGGCAGGTCAGAATCACACACCTGGGCTTCTCCTGCGTCTCGATGAGGCGGATGACGTCCTCCATCCAGAGCATGAGGTCGCGCACCATACTGAAGAAGCGGAACTTGTCTCCGGTGTCCAGCAGTCGCGTCCGCCGGCCCTCGCAGGCCTCCAGCAGACTCCTCCAGGCCTCCAGCACCTCGCCCTCACGCCGCTGGATGTCGTCCGCTTTGTCTCCAGCATACGCTGACTGCAGGCGCACAGCGTCCTCCTGGAGCTGCCTGACCTGAGCGCACAAGCAGAGAAACACCTCCTCATGCAGCAGACGACAGTGAGATGCTGAGTACACAGCTTTTGACGCTCAGAGCACTCATTTAGTGCAAGACAAAGTGTGACAATTCCAGAGACATCAAATTTTAAGATCCATTAATTAAGTGAAGAGTCTTGGACAGTGCATTTAGCCAATAAAACCGATTCATTTACTTCTTTGTTGTGCAATATTAGTCTCATAACGCAGGATGTTCACCTTCAGAGGTTAATGAGGCACAGACGAAAGCTGCGGGACAAATCCATATAGTGTCATTTGAGAAAGGACTTTACTGAGGAAAGCAGATGTTTTTATACTATTCATTGTAGACAATTTTTTTATATAAATTATATATTTAATAAATCTATTTAATTTATAAAACAGTAACATAATTTTTTTATTATTTAAAATATTATATTATTTACATAAATATTTATTTTAATTATTTACATTTT